CAGTCCCAGGAATTTAGCATCAGAGGATGAAGGGTGGTAGTGCATTTTTTAATTTCTTAAGTAACACATTGAAACAGACCATACTTATTCAGCTCTACATCATGTACACATATTATACGTCAAAGTTACCAGGGATTGTTGATTAATAATACTAGAATACTGCTACAATAAATAATTTGTCAAGTAAAAAAAAAAGTAAAGATTCCTTTTCACGCCTTGGGTGCATCGGGCATATGGGAAAAACACCCCATATATTTACAGATCAATCGGCACTAGGTGGGTAATGTAGTCAGCATTACGCCGGCCGTCTTTACTTCCCCAGGACATCCATCCTGGTACCCATTTTAGACTAGGTCGGCTTGTGACGCCTCATACCATGATAAAAATCCATGCAGCCAGCAGTGGGTTTTGAATGCAGTATGATAAATAAATTCTTATCCTTCACAGGATGTTGCAGAACCAACCCTAGCATTTTTCTGGGGCTGTTGTGGTTTTACTAGGCAACTTTTACATTCAGTATTTGCCATTGCTTTCTAAACAGTCAGCTCTTGGTACTACTGTCAAAACCAGTGCAAGACAAACCGTTCGCAGCTGATATCAAACCTGACACTCTGGCATTACAACGCCTAAGCCACAGACGCTGACGGCATGTTAGGAGAAATTAGTAAAATTAAATAAAAATTTTTATACTTACCACTAAGGAGCTGAAGTAAAACTCAGTAAAATATATCCAACATTAATCACTTTTGAACATGAAGCACTTAATAATGTATTCATAAAATTTAAACACAGTCTGTTTTTTTAGATCTTAAATTAGATCTCATTCCAGATAAACTTTTGGAACATCACCATTATTTTCACACACAAAATGTGTCACTTATATTATTCTCAGTATAGCTTTTGAGAACTCCCTTTCTCACCTAATTTGACAAAAATCTGTTTATAGAACATTCTCCCCCTTGTGAGACACTGATTTTCTTTGGGCTATTGTACATTTGGGAGTCACCATGGTGTAACAGCCAAATGCTTGCCTGCAGATGGGAACATTGTGGGTTCAGGTCTTGGCAGAGCCAGACTTTAAAAAAAAATGACCTTGGCTCCCAGGTCAGCCCAGCCTTGTGGGTACCAGGTGCAGTCATGGGAAGTAACAGTGGCCTAAATTTAACTGTTAATAATTTTTTAATCTGCTATTATCAAGGTAATCAAATAATTGAACATGTTGACTTGCTGTAGGCTTGGCTATAGTGATTGTATTGAGAATTTTAGTTTATATTTTGATGAGGAAATAAATCTGCAAGTGTAAAGACAGAAAAGACCCACATAAATACCTTAATTATGTGAAAATATATCTTGCTTTCAGCAAAGACTATCAGGCAACCTTACAGAAACAGAGTGATATGGTGTTAACAGCATTTGAGGATATAGATAATTACTTTGAGATGAATTCATGGCTGAATGAGATTCACCAGTTCTGTCAAAAGTGGACAGTCTCATCAGTTCAGGAATACAAGGGAACAGCAGCATTTCTTGTTGAAGTGAGTTTGAACAAATTCATAATTCCTGGCATTTAAGTGTTGAAAGAATGTAGGATATTTTATCCACTGAACTGTCTCATAGATTACTTACCTAATATCTTATGGAGCACTCAGTCACCGTGGCGTAATGCTGACCACATTACCCACCGACTGCCGATTGGTCTGTAAAAATATGGGTGCTCTTTTTATATGCCCGATGTGCCTAAGGACGTGTAAAGGGATCTTTACTTTTTTTTACTTACTTACTCAGTCACCGTACAAGACAGTTCTTTTAGCAGTGAAATCTGGATTGTGGTTTTAAAATGCAGCCTGTGAATCACAGCTTAAAGTACTTGGTGTAACTACAATTTGGGGAAAAACTTAGGAGTGTTTTTAAAATGCCATAGCATCACAACTATTGAACATAAACTTATAATATTTTGTATTTTTGCACTAAATTGAATAGAGAACAATTTCAAGAACAAAATCAGTGTAATCTTGTTTGACATCATTTTCATCTGGTTGTAGATTGGTGCAAAAAACGCAAACAAAAAATCTTTTTTTTTTCTTTTTCTTTCTGACAGCAAATAAAGACTAAGTAAACTTCCTGTTGTGGAATAGGTTCCTTTTTTACTCACTATAATGGTGGGTGTGGGTTTAAATCCTCCCTGCTGGCATGAATGAGAAACTGAGACAGCTGTCTTTTGATGCTAAGAGCAGACAGTATCTCTGGATACTCAGATGCAGACTCGAGTTGGCTCGTGAAAGAGAGGGAGCTGCCTGAATATCCCCAAAAATTTATGGGAATTTAGATGCCTAGCGAACACTTACTAAATGAATAGCTAGACAGAGCAGATTACCCCCACACCGACATCTTCCGTTTTTGGTCATTGAGTTAAGCCCTCATCTAGAATAGGTATTTTGATAGTCAACACTAGTCTGACACCATACACATATCTAGAAAAGCAATTAAACTTCAACTATGGTTGAAAAATAAACATATATTTATTAAAGGAAATTATATCATCTATTTTGTTTTGAAGTACAATACTCAAACTAAATAGATTACATGAAAGATAAAAAATGATTAGTGATTAAAAAGGATTATCTGCCCTTGGCTTTTTAGCAACTAGGGATAGAAACAATTAAAATGTATAGTCCCTAATTCTCTGCAGAATAAAATATATTCCCCTCTCCCCTCTCTCTTCATATTATCATAAGTGGGATAATGGTCTCATAGCCTTGTCATTTACATAGCTTCCACTTCTAACTACTGTCCAGTCCAATTGAAAGGTCTTCCATCTTCTGTCCTTCATGATGATAGTGTAATACTGCATATTTCCTCAAGCTAGGACCCTGAAATGTAGTTATAAATTCAACACAAAATCTGAAGAAATGCTGTAGAATTATGTGTCTATAAATATTAATGATTCTGGATAACAGTGGCAGCTTGTCCTGTTTTCCAAAAATTTATTTGTGTGGTTAATTTCTGGTTGTAACCAGCTTTTGTGATGTTGAAAAAACAGCTTACAGTTTTTATCGACAGTACGTCATCAACATCACATTATTTAATAAGGCTGCGTATAAGTAAAATAATCACATGATTATCTGTGCTGAAAAAAAAAAACCACAAGTACATATACATCATGAATTATAGAAGTGTGAACATGAGAAGAAAAATGTCTCCCATTGAATGTTACCACTGAGTACACAAACCATGATAAACAGCCTTAGATCGTTTGTGTACTCGCAATAGAAGACGAAGAATCTCCTCAGAGTAAAAGATACAGTAAACAGGAATAACACCCTAGAAACAGGAAGACAGGAATCACATCTGAAAGATCGTGTTCGAGACCCACACGTCAGAGGCAGAAATGAATCCTCCTGGTCTTTCACCAGTAGGTACAATTCTAAGATCGTACGCGAAATACGACCTTGAAAAGGAGATCATGATGTATGTAATAATTATTGTGATCTCCTAAATGTAGATATAATTCTATACGGTGTGTTTGGTCATACTGCTAGGGTTTGGGCTGCTTGAAAGACGGAGGTAAAGTCTTCCAAAACTGCATTCTCGTCTTTTTTTCTAGTGACCGGAAGTGAATGCCGGAAATCCCATGTACCCAGCATGCACTCAATTGGTAGCCAGGTTTTTGCCACAAATTTGCTAAGTTTGCTAGCAGCAAATTTTATACGTGAAAGCGATGGCCTCTGATGTGCCAGTAAATTGCAAACTAGACAAACTGGAAATTTTCCAGACAGCACCCCTAGGTTTAACGTCTCCCCTAGGTTCCAGGGTTAACTTCTCCCCTGGGTTCTAGGTTTAATTTTTCCCTGGGTCCTAGGTGTAAATTCTCCCCTGAGTCCTAGTTTTAACTTCTTCTCTAGGTCCTAGGTTTAAGGTTAAGGTTAAGACAACGAGTATTACAATTACAACACCGCCACCAGAATCTGTCACAACAATCCAACTGCGACACTAAAGATGGAAGGGTTATGCAGTCAACCGAAACAGATGCAACGTTACCAAGGATCTTTCTTGTCATTAATTGTATTGCCCGTGTTATTACTCTATTGTTTTTGTAAATAAATAATACTTGGGTGATTCGTTGCCGAAAGTGTGCAAGAGCAACTGTACAATTTACATGTACCAAAAAAAAAAGACAAAAAAAAAGTCATGTAGGGGTTGAACGTGACACCTTTTGATTGTAAGGCAAATGTGATACCAACTACACTAGACATTGTCATGAAAATGAGAACCAAAAACATGACCAGTATTGTACACTAGCCGACTGCGCACCAAAACACACACATACACACACACACACACACGCACGCACGCACGCACGCACGCACACACACACACGCGCGCGCGCGTATGCCACATCAAAACACAGCACGAGAAGCTCACAAAACTCAGACTTGCACTGCAAATTAAATGATACTACCCCATGAAATAGTCAGCTGTCCCGTCAGCTGTTGATTTTCCCTATATTTCCAGTGTTTGGGGTGAATAAAGACAAAAGTACCTCTGAAATGATACTACCTCCTGAAATATCCACTGTCCCTTCAGCTGTTGATTTCCCCTGGATTTCCCATGTTTGGGGTGAATATAGACGAAAGCACTGATTTTTATTTTGAAATGACATTGGCTTCGAAGTTGACCTAGTCTAAAACGGGTACTAGGTAATGTTCTGGGCAGTAAAGGTGGCTGGTGGCTGGCATTATGTTGACCACATAACCCAGAGTACCCATGAGTCATTAAAAATATGAGCATAGCATCGTGTGACCCATGCATTGCTTGCGTGAAATACTTCAATTACCTAAAAGTATTTATCCCAAACATGTAGGATCGAGGTCTGTGAAGAGATCTGAATGAGTACATAGTACAATATCTGCAAGACACTTGATGATGATGATAGTTAACAAATATGTTGTGCAACTTTTGTAGATACTGTCAGTAATTATGCAAATTGTATCCCTCCCCAGCAAAAACTGACAGAGTTGCGCCAGTGGTCTGAACAGCTGAGAAGTTTTGATTTGAATTATGTGACAGAGAATGGCCTGTTTTTTATTGACTGCTCTCTTGTACATAAGGGTATCCTACCAAAGGTGGAAGGCATATACCAGGAGCTACTTTCATTTGTAGCAGACGAAGCAAGGTGTCTGGCACAGAATTTTATGAAGGAGATGAATATAGTGTTGAAGGTATCTTGAGTTGTTTCTTCAGTTTAAATTTTTTTTAAATATCACAAACAAGGGGTAGAATTTGGAAGGACATAATAGCTAATTATTAAATATTTTATAAAGAAATTGTTGAAAGTTGTATAAACTTTGATGTGCGGATAATATAGTGTTATTAGAGAAAAGTCTGCAGTGGTTGTAAAACATTGAAGGACAAGTAAACATGTGCAGTGCAGAATGTGGATAGAATATTAATTTTCAAAACATTAAACTGTCATAATTAGCAAGGGAAAGGAGAGGCCAGCAGTGAACATCATGGTAAATGGAAAAATGTTAGAAGGAAATCATTTCTCTAATACTAGCCATTTAATAAAAAATAATGGCAAAAGTGAAACAAGTCAAGAAGATAATAGGAATGGGCAAAAGTAAATTCAACAATATGAAAAACATATTACATAGAGAAATACATTAAAATGGAAACTTTCAAATTTTGTATGTATTCAAAATATGATTTGATTATTTACTGCAATGTAAAATGTTGAACTAAGAATTGACATCATAGCACTAGGTACACCATCATAAGCTCTCCTCCCCATCTTCCCCATCATATTTACTGCAATACAGAGATTAAACAGTTGCCAGAAGCTCAAGGCAACAAAAATGAACTTGATCTGGTTCCCAGATTCACCTAGCCTGAAATGGCTACCAGAAAATGTTTTGAGAAGTAAGTTTGGCCACCATGCTATTGACCACACTGACAGTTGGACTATCAAAATATGGGTGTAACATTGCATGCAAATCTAAATCACATAGTTTTAAAATCAAATTGCATATGATTAATTCTAATATTATTTTAAGATTTAACATTTGCTAGTGAAAATTGCAGAATCATAAAAAATAAAATGCATCTGAAAACAAATGCCTTTGGAAATTTGTGAACATTAAATGGGTTGATTTTTTTTTTTAAAGAGTGAAGAACTATAGGGACATCTGCTGGTATCAATAGCTATATATCAAAGAAGATGGCAATATATTCTTCACATCAAGAGGAGTAGTCAGAGAATTTCTAAACAACCATTGAAATGGGAAACAAGGGGTTTGAGGAAAAAAGATTGCCCAAGAGGAACCGCAAGACAGTCAATAATGAGAGAGGCCAAAGATGCTGGACTGAACTGCATCCATGTTATTGAAAAGTTTCACATGATAGACTGGAATGGAAATGTACACTGCGAGCCCTATGTGACATATAAATGACACAACATCAGGATGATGATGATGGTTATGATGATGCGATGCCTATTATACGTGAAGGCTTGGAATTGGTCCTTTACTGTTTTATACATTGCATAAATCTCTTGGCAGTGAAAAAACAGAAAATTGAATTCAAGCCCTGGAACTACTGATGTGCTTAAGAATATACTGTATTTCATGAGAAAAAAACAGTCATATACAAAGGTCTTGGTGGGGCTGAAATGAAAAAGAGAGCTGATAGAAAATATTAATTGTGTACTGCTTGTCGCATTGTTTATTTCATTACCCTCATATCTTAAGTAGGAACAAACTGCAGTCCTATTATAAAAATGTGACACATTCTCATGCATTTCACAGAATATGAAAAACAGAGAGCCAGGTGTTGCATCCTTTGCCCTATTTGCAAAGAACTTTAATGATTACAAAGAAAGCACACTACAGTTACAGCAGCGAATGGAGTACATCAGATCTCTGTATGAAGTAGGTCTCTAGTTTATTTATGTTGTAACTTTAATTTTTTGTTTCATTATGTTATTCAATGCTCCTTTGAACATCTGTTCACACAATTCAGTGGGCTGTTTGGAATGTTGTTGGTTGTCTATTTTTGCTGAAGAGGACAATAATTTCATGACTACATTGCTACATACAGGACACTGCAGGCTCAACTACCACATGCATAAAATAAAGACTGTTCAGTCACCACAGTGTGCCTGTCAGACAGGACCACAAACACTGGAGCACATTCTGCAGACTTGCCCATTCTACCTACAACTTCGAAAAGAAACCTGGCCACAAGAGCAAAATGTGCAGAGCAAGCTATGGGGAACCATGTAGGACCTGCAATTGACATGTGAGTTCATAGAGGCAACCAAGCTGATGGTCTGATCTGAGCATACAAAAACCGATCTTAAAGAACAAGAAGAATTCCAATATGGGTTTGAAGCTGGCTTATAAGACTTACTTGAGCTAGGAATTTTCTGAGGGTAGGGAATTATTATCTGCACCTTCTACTTCACTTTCACCTTCACTGCAGGAATTAATTGCTTAGATGAGGACACATTATGCCTTGGATATGAATTACATTTGCATTAGCCATTTTGAGGTATATGTTCTGATTCCACAGAAGATTTAATCGATATGGTAGACGTAAAAGCAGGATGTACTTATACTTAATGATCAAAAGTATCTACTCTGTGGTGTCCAGCCCCAGTTAATCTACATAGCATTCCTGGCATTCATTTTTCTATCAATTAACTAACCAGTGAATCCTCCACAGTCTGCAGAATACAGTTTGCAAATACTTTGCTTGACAATCTGGAGTTGAGACTTGAAACTATAACTTTTCTGGTGTTCTCCCAACTCTTTATTTGTGTAAACATATTGATTTTATTATCATTATTATTATTATTATTATTTTTAATTGAACAATAAAATTAAAAGAGATGTAAGAGTGAACAAATATATGACAAGTGAGAAGACTCAAGAAAGGCTGGATGTTGGACCAGCCTGTATGCCTCATCCTCAACCCACTGGATATGTTTATTCAGTCATGTCCAATTATATTATAAATCAATAGATATTGTTCTAATTTTGGAAATTTATTACTCTTTGACCACTATGTACTGTTAAAAAAAATACAGTTAAACTTCGTTATCATCGATGTAATAGTCTCTGAGAGCTAGGCATGTTTGCTTCTGTTTGGTGTGGTATATGACTATGCGTTGGCAATTGTGGCTTAGGCTTTGCAAACCTGCTTTGTACTGCCAGGGTGCCAGGTTTGATCCCAGATTTTTCTTGCATTGGTTTTGATGGTGGTTACTGAGAGGTGACCATTCAGCAAGCAGTGGCAAACTACTGAATGTAAAATGTGCCTAGAAAAACCGCAACAGTAAAAAATGCTGGGGTTGGTTCTGCAATGTCCTGTAAAGGATGCACAACTAACTTTTTATGTGACTACGTAGTTTTATTCAATAAATTCATGTCACTGGAGGTTAGAATCAGAATTTGTGCATGCTATATAGAGCCAGTTTTAACATTTGGCTGTGAGTGCAGGGCAATTAATAAACAAGACGAGAAATTTATTGAGGCTTTAGAAATGTTTTACAGAAGAATTCTTAGATTTCTTTGTTAGAGGTGAGGGCTGGAAGAAACATCAGAAACAGACAGCCATAATTTTTTAGTTATATAATGAGAAGAAGGAACATGTTGTGACCTGGAAAGATCTGTGGAAAAAATAGACATGGGAAGACAACATGAGAAAGATTCTTGACATCCCTTTGTCATGGCACAAAGAAGAATCAGCACACAAACTGATATATGCTGTTGAAGAAGATCACAGATTGTGGAGAGGCATGATCATCAACGCCAGTCGGCGAGGGACACTTGATGATGATGTTGAGGATATGATAATGAAATTCCATATCTATGAATATTAAAACATGAAAGTGTTTGCTGATATCATTGTCTTAAAACAGGTTATTAGAATGGGTGCCAGACAGTTAGCACCTGGAGAAGAGAGAACAGAGGAAACAATTATGTCTTCTTGGGAGACCTTTCAGGTGCAGATGCAGGATGCTTCAGAATTTGTGAGCACTCAGACGCCTCTCATGACCCAGCAGTTGGATGATACTTTCCAGGTTTCAGTTATATTTTTTCCTTAGTTAATCAGTAGGTTATCCACATCCCTCATTGGACAAATCCATAAGCGTTCAGATCCCATCTTCAGTATATCTCTCAGCAAGTGGTGACTGATAACACCAGTTCTGCATTGTTTTAGTATTATTTTTTGGCTACATGTATAGTGTTCATGTCTGGCAATGCTTCTTTTGACCTGAAGCTCTTGTAGTCTTTTTAATGTTACAAAATTTTGACCTGAAGCTCTTGTAGTCGTTCTAATGTTACCAAATTTTGACCTGAAGCTCTTGTAATCTTTTTAATATTACCAAATTTCGACCTGAAGCTCTTGTAATCTTTTTAATTTTACCAAATTTTGACCTGAAGCTCTTGTAATCTTTTTAATATTACCAAATTTTGACCTGAAGCTCTTGTAATCTTTTTAATATTTCCATATTTTGACCTAAAGCTCTTATAGTCTTTTTAATGTTACTAAATTTTGACCTGAAGCTCTTGTAATCTTTTAATGTTACAAAATTTTGACCTGAATCTCTTGTAGTCTTTTTAATGTTACCAAATTCTGACCTGAAGCTCCTGTAGTCTTTTAAATGTTACCAAATTTTGACCTGAAACTCTTGTAGTCTTTTTAATATTACCAAATTTTGACCTGAAACTTGTAGTCTTTTTAAAGTTACCAAATCATATGTTTTATTTGGTCAGAGTATACTAAAGACATCAACACTGCAGTGGTATTTTTGTTTCTTTAAGAGGGACTATTTTCTTTTTTTACTGTGTGATTTTTACATTTTTAAAAAAATGTTATGCAATAGTATGCCTGAATGAAGGAATTAACCATTTTTTAACTCTTTCGGTACCAGAAAGTGTTACTGTAGCCCTTTCTAAGCCAGTTACTTGTTACTTTAGATTAAAAAAACATTGTGTCTTTAAAATGTCATGTAATAACCATATTAATCGGAAGGAGTTAAAAATAACACAGAGGTTCATAATCATTTAGCATGTCCTTTACAGAACCTAACTCACATCATAGCCTGTCTGAAAGAAACACATAGGTTAAAGTTAGCTAATTTAACAATTTAATATTGAATGTTGAATTAAGAATTGATATCACAGCATTTGGGACACCCCCTTAAGAGCTCTATTCCCATTTTCAGCAGCAGAGCTCTATTCCCATCTACAGCAGCAAACAGAGTTCCAATTTGGATTGTACCAGTAACTGTCTGACTGTTTATTTGCCTCACCCTTGCCTTGAGTGTTGAGTGTTGGCCAGATCCCCTGGTAACTCCCCGCAGCACCATTCTCTTCAGACTGTAATGATCTATTTGTGCTTCCACACTGTTCAATCACTCCCAAAGGGCCCTCACAACATCCAGCTTGTCATACATCAGTTCACCACCAAATGGTGCAGAACCGGCCAGTCTTTCTGCCTGCTCATTTTCCACAGTGTATTTAATTTTTATTTAACAACTGAATGAGCAAATGTATGTCTTTTATAGTAAATATATTGTGAGTTGCCTGAAAGTTGAAAAAACAATCTGAATAAATTTGATTTTTTTTTGGGTTGCTTTATGTTATCACTGTCTGTTTCAAGCATCTGTGTAAAGAGGCAGCAGTACAAGCAGAACTTGCTATGAGTGGCCAGTTTTTGGAACCAAATGAAAATCCACTGAAGATTCTGACAGATATGAAAAAGGTAAATACATCACAACTTATTTCTTGCAGTGGACTTAAATATGTTGGACAGATTATAAAGGAAGTCCACCACAAATATATGTACACTCTTTAGTAAATGTCATAAAAGAACTTTAGATGAATTGTATTATGGAAGCAATGTGTTGTATGATGTTCTCTCCAATGATGCCACTACTTGTTTGGATGCTGACATCTAAATAAAAGCTTCATAGAAGAACAAAACCCTTTAGTAACCCTTTAGTAATAAACTGAAATGGCATGTGCACTAGTTGTATTATATACTGGCTAACATTTCCCAAGCAGTAGTTTGCAATAGTAGTAAGCATCTGAAAGCAGACGGTAACATCTTGTACAGTTTAAGAAGTCAAAAATATTCATTCCTCTCTCTCTGTGTAAGTCAGTATTACCGTTTTTATTATACAGCTTTTCTTTATATTGAAATATGTATATATTTTTGCATTGTTTGTGTTTGTTTGCAAGAGTATGTGCATGCTTTTTGAGAGAAGATAAAGTTCTGACATACAACTTAATGCAATTTTTTAAATTACAGAAATTATATATATATATATATATATATATATATATATATATATATATATATATATATATATATATATATATATATATATATATATATATATATATATATATATATATATATATATATAAGTTCTCAACTTTCCTCTTTCTTCCTGGCATTTATCTATCCCTTATGACCTAAGAATGATGAAAGATATTTTAAGTATGTGTTGATTCCAAGCTAAGTCAGTAAAGTAATTCTTCTTATATGTACACAACTTTAAGTATGTGTATTATTCATTCAGATCAGAGAAAAGTTCAATCATTTAAAAGTAAAGCTACGAGAATCAAGTCAGTGGAAACAAGCCATTACAGGGGAAACCTACAACCTGAGTTTTTTGAGTGATATTGTCTCAGAGATGGACACGAGGCAGGAACTCTGGAAATATGTAGAGACATCATCACATGCCATCAAAGAATGGAAAAAGATGCCCCTAAAAAAGGTAGAACGCTTTTGGTTTGTTTCTGGTCTTTTCTTGATCTAAGGAAGCTAACCTTTTATAGGATATATTTTTTATTCAGATAGGAGAAATTATAATTAAGATAGAAGAAAAACATTTTTCATACATTTAATGTTTCAACAAATTCAGATAATTTGGCAGTAGTAGACACAAGTGATAAGTATGTCTATTTTGTCTGGCAGTTTGCCAGTCATCTGCTCCTAAATTAGACTGAATTCTGTAGATTAACTCAAAGTCATCTTGCATAGAAACTCACACATTTGATTTTTTAATTATTTGTTTAAGGCAATGGCTGCCTGGCAACTTACATTGTAAAGAATTCTGGTAAACCACAGGATGTGATAGATATGATGTTATTAATATGATTAACCAATTTTATTTTTAGCCGGATTACTCTTATCTTTAGAAGCAAGCCTTAGCAGTTTATTAGTGTATACAAAAGTGTAATTTTGTTAATTTTAATTTATCTCAATAGATCAACATTAAAAAGGCACTACAAACAGTCACAGAGTGGCAGCTGGCAGCTGACAAGTTAAAATTGATTTTGCCTGCAGAAGATAAAGTTCTCACAGTTTGGTGCAAACAGATAGAAGAATTCAGCAAGGACTTGCCGATACTTCACAAGTTGGCCAGTGATGTTCTTCAGGTAGACTGAGTTACTGTGTTTGTAGCAAAATATTCCCTTGTGTGTTTGTGCATTCTGAAAATTGCAAAGCATGCTTTAAACAAGCTAAGATTTTGCCAGCAATGAGAAAGAAAAGCTGGGCCACAGAAGCAGCCATACAAGACAAGCTACAAGGCACCAGTGAAGACCTCAAGCACACTGTTCTGTTTCTGATATATACCCGATTATACTCATAGCAAAATGTTGATTGCTGAAGATGAAGATAAAGAAGAAGAAATAATGTGCATGTTTTTATACTGGTTGGAACATTGGCTATTAATACCTTAAGTTGAATCAGTCTACAGATTTTAATTTCTGTTTGTCCGTGATCACTGTCGTTATACATGATTATTTGTGTAAGCACTATGTAGGACTAGTGAGCTTCAAAATCTGTGTATCCTAAACTCGCACATGCTATATTTCTTGTATGTGTAAGTGTAATAATATCAAATTTAACCTTGTCAGTAGCTTATTTAGCCTGCTGTTTCCAATTGCCAGTTTATAAAGGATTTTTACCATGTGCTTTATGCACACACATTCCCTGAGTTGTTTATCATTGTCTAAGAAGGGTACTAAAGAATCATTACTCCTAGATCACCTTGTCTTATTTTCTAAACATGTTTTTTACAATCCACACCACAAATTGTATGCTGGTATGCTGGAATTAGTCTTGTTAAAACACTTAATTATGAGAAGTTCCTTAACTCTATTATTAGCAGAGGACAGTTTTATTAGTTATTAATCAACAAATGATATGTTTTCTGTACTAAAAGTATTATTAAGGCACATTTTAAAATGCCCATATAATGTTGGTAATAACATTAATCATAACTGGGCTAGAGATCATTTAGACCTATACATTCAAATACTTAGGAAAGTAGTTTTACAGAAGCTAAGTTTCATAAAAAGATTTAAAAAATAGCAATAGACTAAAACAGGGTTTTAACCACCTCTCTCAACTGCTCAAACATACAAGTAGCAAAATGAAGACCCAAAAAGCCACTGATAAATAGCATATTCACACAAATGGTTTGTTACTTATGTCAAACCTGATTACCAGTCAAGGCGTGAGAGAGTAAGATCAGTAAATGAGGTGAGATGACAGAGAAAAGCTGTAGCATTGTAACCACCAAGAAAAAAGAAGACCTACAAATGTTGATGACATCAGAGAAAGACAAAGAACAACATGAGAATGGAACCTGCAAAACAATCCTTTGTATGTCTATACCTGTGGAAGAGCAATTTATAGAACAAGAGCAAGGTATGGAGCAGATGAATCATAAGTATCAAACACATCTTACAATAGTACAGGCCTACATTATGTGGCGCAACCACCTGGCACTAGAATAAACACTTCCCACAATCCCTCACAGCACAATTCGACAGAGTTAGACAAGATAACAAACACACTTTCACCCACACACTTGCACACAGTCATATACACATTTTATCAGCCAGGTTTTTTTTTTATTTTTTTTATTTTCTTGTCACATTTTTTTCAATTATAATCTTCTTTGAAAACTTTAGGAAAGACACTGGCAGATCATATTCCTGGCAATGAATGAACCATATGTCAGCAATCACCAGTTCACTGTGGCTGAACTTATGTCTTACAGTCTTTCTGATCATGCTGATACTATCTATGCCACATACAAGAGTGCAGTTGCAGAACGTGACTTTGAACAAGGCTTGAGCCACATTGTTGGCCTCTGGCAAAATCGACAGTTCAAACTGGCCAAACACATCCCAGAAAGCATATTGATTAAAAGCAAAGGTAATAGAAATGCTGTTGATGTTTCATTTAAAATACTAGTAAATTTAATTTTAGATACTAGGAAAAGTTTCATCAGGATACTAGTAAAAGTAAAGAAGTCATTTTCATGATTTCAGGTGTATAGGGTATCTAATGTTGGGACCATATTAAAAAAAATACCAGTCAAAACCAGATGGGGCTAGTATCATGCCAGCCATCTTTACATCCTAGAAAATGTCCAGTTTTATGCTGGTCAACCTGAGAGCTCAGGTCGATTTAAAATAATAATAATAATAATAATTAGCCTCAATGAGGTTTCAAACACTTGGTTGCAGGTCCAGCATGCAGGGGAAGGATACATTACCAAGACATAGGTTAATCTAGCTGCACATGTTGCACATACCTAAATATGGCCCTGGGGATAGTCATAGTGTATTAGCCAGGTTACTCTGTCTTAGTGTATATCAGTGAATGTGAGGTTCCAGTACCCGTATTGCACACCACACTAGTTTCTGAAGTCCTAGAGGAAAAGGGAAGCTCTGCAACGCAGTCCCTGAGGAAATGGTATTATGAGACCAAATTAACCAGCCAAGCACAATTTTGAATGATGCCACGACACCAAACTGAAATAGGTAGTAGTAAAATTGTGTGAGCACATCTACAGTTAAAGCATCCATGCCAGTTTAGTGTTAAAATGCTTTTCTTAGACACAACAATCATGGTGGAAATAGCTTCTGTACATGGTGTTGTCCTGTAAGTAATCTAAAAATTTATGAAATGAGACTTTTTTTGACAATCAGAAAAGAAAAGAATCAACAAAAAAATATCAGGCTGTACAAATGAGGCTTCATTCCTCTAAAAGTCATAAGCCTATAGACATAAATGACTGAAGGTATTATTTGTATGCATGTGTGTATGTTTATGTATGTTTTTAATCAATTGACTATATTTTTATCACAGTCATGCAACTGTATGTGTAAACCTAGATTTATGTGTGTGTCCATGATCATGTGTGTGTATAATACACTCACTCTTACAAGGGCATATGATACAATATGTTGTGGCCAACAGCTAGGCTGTGATATGTGCACCTGTAAGACCAAAACATCATATTTCTGCCACTACTATTTAGTCACTTTTTACTTCATGCTTATTAAGGGGCATAGTTTCTATCCCCCCCCCCCCCCCCCCACGCTTAAACTGAAGCCCTGGAATCAGCACCAGAACAGTGTGTATATCTGTTGATTTAATATTATTTCATTAAACTTGTTCTGACTTTCTTTAGAGCCAGTTAGAAGAATCATGTCCAGCAATAAAAGACTCAGGAAACTGGAGAGGAAACATCAGGAGAGAATGGCAGCTCGGTCAGCTGAGCAAAGATGTTTGGATGTGGCTAATGATGATTTCTTTGTTCTCACCGAGGTGGAGGTACTGAAGTATCAGCTTGAGGTGAATGTGACAGTCTTTCGTAGCTGTTTCAATATAATTAATTTATGTTGTAATCATTCTGAGACTGCTCTTGGAGACACAGATAAAAACTGTAGACTGTTATACAGAGACACTAAAAAATGTGTGGCTTGTTGTGAGAAAATTTAAAACAAGTGACCACAGGCAAACGATAAGAAAATGGCAATAGGAAGATAAAGAGATAAATTCCAGAATGGCTTGGCCACAGGTGAAATGAAGCCACAAACAATGACTTATTCCAAGAATCTTATGATTGTGTGAGATTGCAAACTATGACTGCCAGTAATGAAGGATAACTTTAATAATAGGAACGTGATGATAATGCCAGTAATGAAGGATAATTAATAATAGGAACGTGATGAAAATGCCAGTAATGAAGGATAATTAATTATAGGAACGTGATGATAATGCCAGTAATGAAGGATAATTAATAATAGGAACGTGATGATAATGCCAGTAATGAAGGATAATTAATAATAGGAACGTGATGATAATGCCAGTAATGAAGGATAATTAATAATAGGAACGTGATGATAATGACAGTAATGAAGGATAATTAATAATAGGAACATGATGATAATGCCAGTAATGAAGGATAATTAATAATAGGAATGTGATGATAATGCCAGTATTGAAGGATAATTAATAATAGGAACGTGATGATAATGCCAGTAATGAAGGATAATTAATAATAGGAACGTGATGATAATGACAGTAATTAAGGATAATTAATAATAGGAACGTGATGAAAATGACAGTAATGAAGGATAACTGTTATAATAGGAATGTGATGATGATGATGACAGTAATGAAGGATAATTGTAATTATTGGAATAAGATGATAATGAGAGTAATGAATGATAACTGTAATAATTGGAACGTGATGATAATGATAGTAGTGAAGGATAACTGTAATAATAGGAACGTTATGATAATGACACTAATGAAATAATGAATAATTGAAATGTGATGATAATGATAGTAGTGAAGGATAACTGTAATAATAGGAATATGACAATAATCACAGTAATGAAGGATGACCTTAATAATAGGAACATAATGATAATGACAGTAATGAAGGGTAACTGAAATAAAAGGAACGTGATGAAAATGGCAGTAATGAAGGATAACTGTAATAATAGGAACGTGATGATGATGACAGTAATGAAGGATAATTCTAATAATAGGAAAGTGATGATGATGTCAATAATGAAGGAAAATTCTAATAATAGGAACGTGATGAAAATGACAGTTGGAAAACCTTAGATGTTTGGGGCTGACAGAGATAAGTTTTATTTTTTTGCCAGGGCATGTATGTATGCAAGGAAATGAGAATGCTGAAAGGCTTGAGGGCAAGGCTACTGTGGAGGTCAGACGAGCCATGGACCAGACTGATAAACTTAATGCTGTATGAGAATTTAGATGTTTGCAAGAATCGAGTGATGACTGCGAATCTGCAACTATGACCAGACAGTCATCTTATTAACTTTGATGTACAATGAGGACATTCTGTTGACTTATTAACTAACTTTTAAGTTTAGTTTATGTTTATAGGGTGCAGAATCCAAATTTGTTAATGTGTTTACCTGTCACTGATAGCCTTGGGTCATTACCATTATTAATTTATATATGTAAACATCAATCAGTTCTAATCTAACCAACACTTACAGGACAGTCGAATCAGTGTGGATGCTATGTTGGTTTCACCATATGTTGAGGGCATTAAAGATCAAGTGGTGTTTTGGTGTCAAGCTTTTAGAGAGATTGAAGAAATTACAGATCTTTGGGTGGAATGTCAGAAAAAGGTATTTGTTTTAGAACATTATACAGTTTAAAAAAATTAATTAATGATACTAAATCTGGATTAATCTTTTCTTTATGGAATCAGCTGACCTTTTTTTGTTTTCTATAGTATGTGATATTTTTAATATGGTACATATAATATTAAAATGCTGCTATAGGACATGGTTAATTTAAGTCAATAATACATGGCCAAAATAAATTACGAATTGAGTGTACTGTTGAATATAAATGGATTATTAATTGGTTAAATCTTTTCAGTGGCTATACCTGTTGAAGATTTTTGAAAGACCAGACTTTTACTGCAGATTACCACAGCAAGCAATGAGATTTGAAGAAGTTCACAACAAGTTTAAGGTATTTATAAAAGTAGTCTTGATATTTGAACTTAAATTGTGATTTTGCTAATAAAACAGTTAGCAGAATGTGTGATATTCTAAGCAGATTGACCCACAAAATCCAAATTCTACTTCAAAACTTAGCTTTCTAAAATCAAATGGATCCTTGTTATATACATGAATGTCAGTGTGCCTTTATCCATCTATGTTGGCGTGACTTTAGCAGCCAGTCTGTCTAGAAGCAGAATCTTGTCCATCAGCATGTAAGTAAATTATTCTGTATGCTTGAGAATGGCCAGCTGAGAGGTTAGAATGCTCGGCTCTCATTCAGAAGACCTGGATTTGAATCTTCAGTAAGGTGATGGAAATTGTATTCTACTGGGAGCATAAATAATAATCCTTACCTGCACAGTTGTGATTTATTTCCACTAGTCATACAGCTTTTAACCCTCAGGCTTAAAGACCTCCACTACTTCACCCCACCCACCCGCCATGTAAACATGACCATATCATTTTTACCAAAACCCCTGGGGATCTTTACCAGAGCTTTGGAGTACATGCTTTGTGCTAGCTTTTCTACAGAGAGAGACCAAGCCTTGTGGGTTAAAACCCTGGTGCAGTGAAGTCAATCCTCTTAACTTTAACGCTAGTGATAATCAGAGGTAGTAAAAACTCTTTTGTGGGAGCAAAAGTAATGTGGTGGCTAGATGCTTGCTTGCCAGCCTGAAGATCTAGGGTTCATAGCGATGATTTGTGGAATTGTTTTCCAAAATCGATACAGGCTCCTAGATTGACCAGTTCAAAAATGGGGCCAGGTAATGTCCTGGGAAGTAAAGGTAACAGTCTGATGTTGGCTATATCCCCTGTTGAATTCTGATTAGTCTGTAAAATTTTAGGTTTAGCCCAATGTGTCTAAGGTGGAAAAATGAACCTTTACTAAAGACACTTTTTACACATCCCCCCCCCCCCCCCCCCCCCCCCCCCCCCCCACCCCCCCCCCATTTGTTTTCCCTTTTTTTTAAAAATAATTTTTTAATTAAAAAAAGAAAAAAAAGAAACGCTTTGTATAACTGTTCAATATCACAAATAGCACACTCTTTCTGTTATTCAGGACTGGATGAGGGTTGTGTCAAATGACTCCAGGTGTCTGTCTGTGGTGAGTCGAAGAAGAGGGGACAAAGGTTACAGACTATTACAGGGAGACAACCTTAGAAGTCTTCTTTTGTCAATTATCAAAGAACAGGTTTGTGAAATCAGCTTCAAATCTTTCTTCACATTTATTTGTGTGGAATTGTTTGGACCTAAGTTTTGTTATACTGAAGTATTAGTTTTTAAATTCAAAGTTGCAACCCAAATATTATTAAGACAAATTGTTTTAATAGAGCAGTGTATGTTACATGTAGCGGCCAACATCATAACTATATACAGGATTGGCAGTTCAGCTTCATCCCTTGCTAATCAAATTCATTCTTTTGCAAATGAGATTCACCCTTTTGCAAATTAGATTTATCTTTTATCAAATTAAATTCACCGTTTTGCAAATCAAATTCACTCTTTTGCAAATCAAATTCACCCCTTTGTCAGTCAGATTCTTCCTTTCACTGATCAAGCTTTTCTACAACATTTTTGTATCTATTGTAATAAAAATGAAATCTAATTGAAGTTATGTTTGCAGTTAATTGCATGCATATAATCATGAACACAAAATACTTTTTAAACCAGAGGCCTTCCTTACATTCAAATCTGTGCCAGGTAGATTTGGAGAAAAAGCTGACTTTAATTCCTAGTTTCCCATAAATAGATCATCATGATTTGCAGAGGGTTGGGGGATCCAGCCAACACTCAGTACTCAGAGGAAAGCGTGGTGATGTCAGTTCTTAACTCAACTGAGCTCAGCTCAGCCAAACCTTAAATGGATCTCTTCTTCTTCTTTTTCCTATTCTTCTTCTTCTTCACTTCCTCTTTTACTACTTCTGGAGTCGTCGTGGCAGAGCGGCTAGTGGCAGATATTCCACTTCAAGATATGAAGTCATCTATCGTCTCAGATCGGAAGTTCGTGGGTTCGCTCCCTGGCAGAGCCTGACTTGAGAAAATTTTTTTTTTTTTAATAATGATCTTGGCTCCCAGGTTGACTCAGCCTTGAGTGGGTAGCAGGTGCAACCCGGGAATTTAAGGCTGCTGGCGTGATGCTGACCACATCACCCATCTTGTGCAGATTGGTCTATGGTCTAGCCCTATAAGCCCTATACGCCTAAAGGCGTGGAAAAGGGTCCTTTACCTTTACTTTACTTTTACTGCTTCGGGTGTCAAGGGAAATATAAGGTTATGCTTCTTGGTCTTCTGGCTGCATTGTGTTGTAGAGCAGTTGCTCTCAGACTTCCTAATGCCATGACCCTATAATACAGTTCCTCATGTTGTGGTGACCCCCAACCATAAAATTATTTTCGCTGCTTCATAACTTCAGTGTATATTTGTTTTTCAATGGTCTTGAGTGACCTCTGTGAAATGGTCGTTCAACCCTAAAAGGAGACGTGGCCCACAGGTTGAGAACCGCTGTTGTAGAGTTTCTCTGATGTTATCTTTCCATTTTTTTTCTGGGTCTATCTCATGACCCTTATGACCCTGCATTTTTCCCTTCTTTTGGTATATGCCTTGTACGGTATGGTGTCACAAGGCATACTCTTTTCTACCACTTGATCTACTGTCTTTGTATGTAATTTAGAATTGGTTCTATGCTAACTTTTTCTCTTATGACCTTGTTTCTGATTGTATCTTTTCTGCTCATACAGCCCTTCTCAGACATCTTATTTTTGTGGTTACTAATTTTCTTTTATGGCATGTAGTGAGTGACCATGTCTGGCACTGGCAGCATAGAGTGGGAATGAATATGCTTTGCTTGAGGTTTTTCTTTGAAGTTACTCTTATTGACTTATGATGTAAGCAGGGGGGGGGGGGGGGGCTAGCTGTCCTAATACTTGGTTTGCTTTACTACATCTGATCTTAATTTCTTCATCCATGTTTCCATCTTCGGTGAATTTTGTACCCAAATATTTAAACTCAGATGCCCATTTAATGCCTTTTGCACTCTACTGCTTAATACTGCTTAAGGGGATGATGCCAGGAAATATGTTCGGTGGTAAAGGCAGACAGCATGATGTTGATCCACTTAGGTACCCGTTGGTCTAGAAAAATATGTCTGGCATCGTATGCCTGATGTCTCTGATCAAGTAAATATTGTGTAAAAACGTTGTTCTGCTAATGAGTGACTATGATATTTATATGTGAATTTGATCTGGAAATGGGGAAAATTGATTTGTAAAGGGTGAATTTGATTTGCAGATCAGTGAAATTCGTTTGCAAAAGGGTGAATATGGCTTGTAACATGTTTGCAGACTTCAGCGGTTCCGTTTCAGTTATTTTTTTTTATTTTTTATTGTTGGAAGTGACAGCTTCTCATTTGTGTTTTGGAGGGGTAAAAAGTGGCAGTCGAATTGTGTGTTAAAGCCAGTGGAAGTGCTTTAAAAAAAACCCATCTGATTAGTAGTGATGTCATGAATTGTGTTGGTGTGTATTGTTGGAATACCTGCTTTGGAAATGGAAACAAAAACGTTATCTAAAGGACATGATCATGTAGTTAATCTAAGACGTCCATAATGATGTGTATAGTATTACAAGAGACTGATTTGTGTATTGCAGTCAAAAGTATTCATTTCTGGACTTCATTGTACGTCGATGTTAATTCTATAGTAAATTACTTCCGTACCAAATGGCTGATAGCTGGCTAACTGTTGATGCTCTGAAAAGTTATTTCTTTCCAGCTAGGTTTTGCTGATGCAAATTCCCAATTTCTGGACTGGAAGTCCAAAGGTTTCATTGTCCAGTCACCGAGTTAAGTCCATAATGATGTGTATAGTATTACAAGAGACTGATTTTTGTATTGCAGTCAAAAGTATTCATTTCTGGACTTCATTGTATGTCGATGTTAATTCTATAGTAAATGACTTCCGTACCAAATGGCTGATAGCTGGCTAACCGTTGATGCTCTGAAAAGTTATTTTTTTCCAGCTAGGTTTTGCTGATGCAAATTCCCAATTTCTGGACTGGGAGTCCAAAGGTTTCATTGTCCAGTCACCGAGTTAAGTCCATAATGATGTGTATAGTATTACAAGAGACTGATTTTTGTATTGAAGTCAAAAGTATTCATTTCTGGACTTCATTGTACGTCGATGTTAATTTTATAGTAAATGACTTCCGTACCAAATGGCTGATAGCTGGCTAACCGTTGATGCTCTGAAAAGTTATTTCTTTCCAGCTAGGTTTTGCTGATGCTAATTCCCAATTTCTGGACTGGGAGTCCAAAGGTTTCATTTTCATTGTCCAGTCACCGAGTTAAGTGCTTGGGGTGACACAGTGAGCTATGGGTTTCATGTGTAATGTTTTTATTTTCTGTTGTACCCGTGGCATGTTGTGGATGGTAGATTATTTTCAGAATGGCATGTACTTTTGTAGGTGTAATGTCAGCTTTTGTGACTTATCATATACACCAACAGTGTGCTGCAGTTCTGGTTTAGGACCATTACTGTTGGCACATCACACAGTGGCCTTATGCACTTTTACTTTGCATGGCAAATTTCAAGATCTTGCTGGGACTGACATGTTTTTCACTAGTTTTCTGACAGACAGTGAAGGACATTTTGTGTGATTTCCACTGGTACAGAAATGGAGCAGAAGTGGGGCGATCCATCTGCAGTGATGCTGGAATCTCGACCAAGACTCAGTTGATAGCTATCCATTTGAGAAGATACAGAAACATTTTCCAGGCAATTAATTGTGCAATATATTGTTGTACCCTCATTATTAAATCTTAGTTCTAAAGGAAATATCTGTTATTTGTCTAAAACACTTTTATAAATATCCCCATTTCTAGGAGGAAGTCTTGAAAGATCTTGAGATATTAATCAGTGTGTCAAGGAACCTGCCAGCACTAATACCTTTTGTTCAGAAGTGTTTCCCTGGTGTTCTTGACCTTTCTTTTACTCTCCCAGCTGGGAATAGCAGATTCAGCTCTCAACTTGACCATAGAATTAACAGTAAGTAAATCAGTTTACATCCTGTTCAATATATATACACATTTTGTTTGTTTGCTGCTGGGATAATGCTAAAATAATCAAAGAGTAACTAGGTACTAGTTTAGTGTTAGAGCTGGTGGTGCAAAAGGATCAGATGACCTGGCACGAGCTGGTTGAAGGCAAGGCCAGAAGGCACACTATTTGATATGTTTTGACCGATATTCTTGTAAGAGGAAGAAAACAAAGATACAGATTACGATCTGAAATCTATGTTTATGCATATGCAACAGCTTCTGGCCTTTCTTAGTAGATGTTGCATGGTGTGATTACTGATTGTTCTTGCTACAGATAAAGAAGGGAAGTGTGAAATATTAGGTTTAAACACATTTTGGGAGATGACATATGAGGTCAAATGGTCACTTCCTTTCCTATTTACATTTCCTTCCAAAACAGTTTCAGTCCAAAGCTGCACTACTTTGAAGGGGAAACAAATCTGTTAAAACATGTGTGAACAAGAAAAGAATAAATATATGAATGATGAGTGGGGAAAAATTTGTCACTTTTGATAATTGAATCTGGACTACTGTCTTTTCAGGTAAGTACTAGGTCTGTACCGAATAGTGATTTTCACTATTCAACCTAATACGAATAACAGGACCAGCTATTCGGCCAAAATCGGCCGAAAACCATTTTAGTTTGTTAACTCTTATGATGCCAGAGATCAATGGTGATTTAAACAGATTATGTGTTACATTGTTGCTTCTCACTCTCTTTTCCCCGCTGTTAGCATCTTTGATGGGTCCAAAGATTTGTCGAAAGACTGTTTTTGAAAACCTGTAATAAGGCCTCACTCTCTTTTATTTCTGCTTCAAGTTTCAGAGCCATATAAAATGACTGGAATTATGAACGTTTTATATATTTTGATCTTGGTGTTGCGAGACAGCACTTTGACTTTAGCAAATGTTGAAGGGCGTAGTATACTTTATTTCTAGATTGTATTCTAGATTTAATTTCTTCTCTCGGCATGTTGGAGCATTTGAAGCAGTTGAAGTTTGCACCCAAAGTACTTATATGTTTCCATTCGTTGATTTTCATATTATCGACATGGATGTGGCCGGAGTTTATATTCTTTTCATGTTGTTGTTGTTGTTATCGATCCAGCGGCGCATGAGCTTTCGCCCTTTGGCCCAATGCCATGTAGTGGAATTTGCATGTTTTCACAAGCTGTTCTTTTCCTCCGTACAAGGTGTTCCACTTGTCTGGTCTCGGAGGGAGTAGCGTTCTTCTTGTCTCACTGAGTTTTGGGCACTCAAAGAGATGGTGTTCAACAGTTTCGTAACGGTAGTTACATAGCTGGCACTCTGGGGAGTGTTGTGGCTTTATTCTGTTTAGATGTCCATTGAGTGGAGTATGTTGCGTTCTAAGTCTGAAGATGGTGGCCTGGTCCCTTCTTGTTAGATGGTTAATGCTGTCATTAGGATCAGGGCCAGACAAATGTCTATAAACCTCTCTTCCAGTGTCTCCCATGGCCCATCTGTTCAACCAAGTCTCTTTGTTTATAGCTCTTATAAGTGTTTTTGCTGTCTGGAGGGTTGTCGCTGTAGGTGGTTGTTCTTGTGTTGCTCCTTTCTTTGCCAATCTGTCAGCTCTGTCATTACCTGGTGTGCCGGAGTGACCTGGAATCCACTGCATCACTATTCTGATGTTGTATGAGGTAATAAGCTGATCAGCATCCAGGATTATCTTGGCTATATCAGTTCTGCAGCGTTCACTGCCCTCCAGAGCTTGAAGGGCAGACATTGAATCTGTGAAGATTACAATATTTTGGACCTTTGAAGGGTAAACATCCATTACAGTCTTTAGGTGGTATACTGCTGTTTCCAGTGCAATTATTTCAGCTTCATAGTTTGAACAGAATTCCCCGCATGTATCAAAAGTCTCTTCAACAGATCCATCGGGATAACCTATGTAGATTCCGTAACCTGCTTTAATGGTAGCTTTAAATGCTGATCCATCAGTATAGACATGTATCCATTCTTGGGGGTAAGAATCAACGGTCTTTAGTGATGAGTTCATAAGAGCGATTGGGTCGGACTGTTTGGTTTCCTCGCCTACCAATTTAGTTCGGACTTCTGGAGCTTTAAAGCGAGCATGTGGTGGTAGGTTTCTTGCAACATTCTGAATTCCTTGACGTCTTTCTGGGAGGTGGTATCTGTCCTGAATTTCATTAACACAGTGTAAAACCGATTTGTGCTTTATTCTTTGTTTGTATTCCCAGTTTTCTACAAGATGTCTATTAGGATGGTTACGATTTTTCCTAACGCATCTTTCATAAATTTCTAAAGTGGCTTTTTCTCTCCGCAACCCGAAGGGTTCCACATTTGTATGGATTTCACATGCAGCAGTTGGTGTAGACTGCATAGCTCCGCAGATTAATCGGAGGGCATTATTTTGTACTCTGTCAAGAGTCTCTAGGTTAGTTTTGGAGCAAGTTGTAAGCAGTGAGTTGTTGTACTCTATCACAGAGCGAACATATCCTAGATATAAGCCTCTCAGTTTCCTTGTTTGATCCCCATGATGTACCTGCAAGTCTCTTTAATAACTGTAACCGCCTCAATGCCTTATTCCTGATGTTTTCAATATGGTTCTTGAGGCTGAGCTGCCGGTCAAGTGTGACTCCAAGGTATGTGGGATGCTCTTCTTTCATCACTTGGTGTTTGTCTAACCTCAGGTTAATATTCTTTTCTTTTCATGTCTAGTTAGTATTCGTACAGAATAGTAAACATTTAAAAACATTTTATGTTTTGCATCCTTCCGTCAGTCTGTGGTAGGTGTAAGGTAACTACTATTCGTATTCGGCCCGACCGCTACTATTCGTCCGAATACCGAATAGTCAATAGGTCCACTATTCGGCGAATACGAAGCGAATATTCGGTACAGCCTTAGTAAGTAAACTAATCATGTATAGCAGATCTTAGGCACTGAAGTATAATGTGAAGATAAAATGTACAATGTTTTGCAGGTCACAGTATTTTAACTAAACAGCGTCTTTTTTTTTTTTTTAAAGCTGACAAACTAGAAGTTGAAAGTGCACATGGTGCTTATGGTGAGAAGTTGCTCCTGTACACTCAAGTCAAAGCTACAACATCCGCAACGAAATGGATCAACAGTTTAAATGAAACTTTGAAGAACACAATGACTATAGCAATGAGAGCCTGTTTGCATGCAAGGATTGAGGAAGGTTGGTATCATTTTGTAAAACTGTTTCCTCCTCATTATTAACATGTTCACCTTGGAACAGTTTATGTGCAAAATGTACAGAAAGTCTGCCAATTATCTGAGTTGGCCATGCGAGTTGGCCGCGCGAGTTGGCCAGGCGAGTTGGTCAGGCGAGTTAGTCACATGACATGAGTTAGTCACATGAGTTGGTCACGCGGATTGGTCACGCGGATTGGTCGCGCGAGTTGGTCGCGCCAGTTGGTCGCGCCAGTTGGTCGCGCCAGTTGGTCGCGCCAGTTGGTCGCGCCAGTTGGTCGCGCCAGTTGGTCGCGCCAGTTGGTCGCGCCAGTTGGTCGCGCCAGTTGGTCGCGCCAGTTGGTCGCGCCAGTTGGTCGCGCCAGTTGGTCGCGCCAGTTGGTCGCGCCAGTTGGTCAGGCGAGTTAGTCAGGCGAGTTAGTCAGGCGAGTTAGTCAGGCGAGTTAGTCAAATGAGTTAGTCAAATGAGTTAGTCAAATGAGTTAGTCAAATGAGTTAGTCAAATGAGTTAGTCAAATGAGTTAGTCAACCTAACTAACTAACACAACTAAACTCACTTACTTACTTAAATAACTTCACTTAACTAACGAGAAAACTGACCCCATAAGTAGTTTTACAAATTGTTACTAACAATGACCCCATGGTCAGTTTTCTCGTTAGTTAAGTGAAGTTATTTAAGTAAGTGAGTGAGTTTAGTTGTGTTAGTTAGTTAGTTAGGTAAGTTAGTGAGCTAGTAAGTTAGTTAGTTAGTTAGTTAGTTAGTTAAGTTAGTTAGCTAGTTGAGTGAGTTAGTTAGTTAGGTTTGTTTTGTCATGATAGTTAGTCAGGTGAGTTAGTCATGATAATTAGTCATGTGAGTTAGTCAGGTGAGTTAGGCCTGTGAGTCAATCACCTGAGTTAGTCACCTAAGTTATGTGAGCTAGTCCAGTGAGTTATTCCAGTGAGTTAGTCAAGTGAGCCAAGTGAGTTAGTTAAGTGAGTTAGCGACATGAGTTGGTCATGTGAGTTAGCCGCGTGAGTTAGTCAAATGAGTTAGTCATGTAAGTTAGTCACATGAGTTAGTCAAATGAGTTAGTCAAGTCAAAAAGTAACAGTTTGTAAACTAATTATGGGGTCATTTTTCTCGGGTTAGTTAGTCAAGTGAGTTAGCCACATGAGTTAGTCAAGCGAGTTCATCAAGTTTGTTAGTGAAGTGAAGTCATTTAAGTGAGTGAGTTGAGTGAGTGAGTGAGTTAGTTAGGTGAGTTAGTTAGTTAGTTAGTTAGTTAGTTGAGTTAGTTAGTTGAGTGAGTGTTTTGCTTGAGTGAGTGAGTTAGTTAAGATAGTCAAGCGAGTTCATCAAGTTTGTTAGTGAAGTTAAGTCATTTAAGTGAGTGAGTTGAGTGAGTTCTTCTTTCGTTCGCATGGAGTTGAGTGAGTGAGTGAGTTAGTTAGGTGAGTTAGTTAGTTAGTTAGTTGAGTTAGTTAGTTGAGTGAGTGTTTTGCTTGAGTGAGTGAGTTAGTTAAGATAGTTAGTCATGTGAGTTAGTCACAGTAGTTAGTCTTGATAGTTAGTCATCTGAGTTAGTCATCTGAGTTAGTCATCTGAGTTAGTCATGTGGGTTAGTCATGTGAGTTAGCTAACTGAGTTTTTCAAATGAGTTAGTCAAATGAGTTCATTAGGTGAGTTAGTCAAGTGAGGGAGTCATGTAAACTAGTCATGCTAGTTATTCATGTGAGTTAGTCACATGAGTTAGCCGACTGACCTAGTCAACTGAGTTAGTCATTTGATTTAGTCAAATGAGTTAGTTAAGTGAGTGAGTCAAGTAAATCATGTGAATTAGGCATGCTAGTTAATCATGTGAGCTAGTCATGTTAGTTAGTCAAGTGAGTTAGTCATATGAGCTGGTCACATGAGTTAGTCATGTGAGCTGGTCACATGAGTTGGTCAAGTAAGTCATGTGAATTAGTCATGTGAGTTAGTCTAATTACATGAGCTAGCCACATGAGTTAGTCATCTGGGTTAGTCAACTAACTCACTTAACTTACTCATGTTGTTAACTCATGTGACTAACTCACGTGACTGACTGACATGACTAACTCACAAGACTAACTCACATGACTAACTCATGTGGCTAAACTAGCTAGCTAACTAGGATAGGTTAGGTTCGGTTCGGTTATGTTTAGGGTTAAGGTTAGGGTTAAGGTTAGGGTTAGGGTTAGGTTAGGTTAGGTTAGGTTAGGTTAGGTTAGGTTTAGTTAGTTTAGTTTAGACTGAATTTTTTTTTTTTCAGTGATTGTCAGTGACTCACATTGACAGAGAAAAGAAGATGCTTAGTCTCAAATATGTCAGATTCAGTTCTAAAATACTGATTTATTGTATGTTTAAATAGCAGTCTGTCATACCTCAGTTGTCCAGTGTGAGTTTTCACAACTATAATTGTCTGCTGCACACGACCGTTCTAGATGGTGTACATCCCTCAGGCATGGTGCATCAGCCTGATGCAGAGAAATGGCAGCAGATTAGAAATAACCATAACGCTAATCCCACACTTACTGTGGCTTCCACCTGTTGTCGGCACTGCTTAAGAACCTTCCAGGCTCATATTGGACTAATCAGCCACTTTCATATTCATGATCATTGATCATTACTGTTTTGGATGAAGGTGGTCTTCATCACTCATGATTGATGAACAACATTCCTTTGAGTGTGTGCAACTTAGTTAAGTATCTGAAATTCTGCTTTTGTGTTGGTTATATTGTTGGCTCTTTGTATCTTGATATTTTTGTGTCTGTGATGTTGAAGCTAACATTCAATGATGAATGTTATATTCACTTGATAGTTATTAAGAAGGGGCAAGATCAACTTCATTTTTGACCCAGGGCATGCTGATGTGAAAGGCAGTGAGAGAGCAGATACTCTGACTGGCAGTGCGACTATAAGGAATGGGCCCTCTATGGACAGGAGAGGCATCATCAATACCATATGAGAGACTAAATGCTGTGAGGCTCTCAGTTTCATGAAAAATGATTTGTCACTAAATAGAGTGTATACCCTGGGAGTACCAATTGGAGCCGAAAGACAGGAAAACCATGTGGGAGCCACCCATAGTTACATTAACCAGAACAGAATGGGAAACATTAGCCTAAACACACTTGGAGACAAACTAATGAGAAGATCGGAGCACTTATGGTCTTGTCTGATGTGCGATGAAGATGATCTCAGAAACAAACAGTTAATAATGAGAAGGAGCATGTTTATTGTAGGGTGTAGAGCTTATTCAATAAAATAGGTTACAGCTCTGATATCATCATTGGTGGGTAAGGGGCACCATAAGCCTTCTTGCTGTCTATCTTCATGTGCAAACAGATGCCTTTACCATACACAAGCAAGCTAAAGAATTAAAGAGATAGATGATGAAAACAGCTAAATCTTGAACATTGTTTGCTGAAACAGATCAAATCTTTGTGTCAAGATAGACCAGCTTGTGAATGTTTTAAAGGAAGTACAGACTCAGATGGCCAGCAGTGATGGACAGAGAATAGAACTTCTTATATGTGGCTTGCTTAATCAGTGCATATACCATAGAGATATTACTGACAGTAAGTTTCTGTTATTTGTTGTTGTTATTATTGATACAGTAGTCTTGGGAATGTTTGCATGTATAAGTATTAACTGTAAACTCAACCACCGATCTTATTATAACAAAAATTATCCTTCTAATATCATCATGAGCAGACTTAGAAGTTTTGATAACAGTTTTATAAAACCTGCTTTCTGATGTATTGTGCATTGTTTTTGTTTTTTTGTTTTTTAGACTATGGTTAAGTACTGACAGAGATGTGCCAACCCTGTTTAGCTCTACACTCAGTTAACCAACTTTCATGCAAAAAGCTGTGAGAGAATTATGCTGTAAAGAAAAGCAGATATCTTATTATAGCTCACTCTAAATGTTTTGCTGTTATAGAGATTTAATTAGTGTTCTTTCACCCGTTGTCAGTTGTAACTTTGATACTTTACCATTGCAAAAACATTTAGGAAAGTTTAACTGAAATGTATGCATGCATCTTTTAAAAGTTTATTGCACCATTTGGTGGTAAATTCATGGATGACACATTAGATGTAGTCAGTGCCCTTTAGGAGCAAGTAAACAGTGCAAAAGTACAAATAGATCACCATGGCTGAAGAGAATGGTGCAACTGGAATTGACCAGAAAATCTGGCAAACATTCAATACTCAGAGGACAGACAATAGGAACATACAATCTGACTGCTATGGGTACTATCAGAAGTCACACTCTGTGCTGGCTGATGGAGATGGAGCATTTATTGGAATGCCCCAAGTGATCTGATATCAGTCCTTTTAATGGTTATTTCAGTTACATTGCTGCATAAATACTATATAGGTATCCCATCAATTTGATTTAGGAAGAAAGTAGGTACAACAATTTTATGTCACCCTAAACAAAGGGAACCCCAGAATCCCCAGTCCAGTCTAGTATTTTAGGGTCTTATAACATGACTCAATTCGGTGTTTACACAATGTGCGGAAAAAAAATTAACGCTGACAAAAACCCAACACATAACACCCCTTTGTTTTGGGTGATATAAAATTATTTTACCAAAAAGTATAACATTTTTATGTAGTAAAAAATAAGCAGTCTGCATACATGCATGCATCATAACATAATATAATTGAATGCGTTATTGGAAAATGTTTTTATTTATACCTACATTACTAAATGCATTTTTACATGTTTGTAAACATTTTTAATATTTTAAATTTTTAGAGCTGATGGAAAACAACCAAATTACTGATGCATCTTTTGACTGGCTGAGGATTCTGAGGTTCCACATTGATATGAAAAGTGTGTTGCGTGCAAAAACAGTTGTCACAGATGCTGTGAATACTTTAAACTCCACTGACTTAAATAGCAAAATAAAGACATCAAGGAAAATCTCTGTGTCCAGAGTTTCTAAAGATGCAAAGGGTAAATATATTTCACTATGCTGCTGTTAACCATTATACATTTTAATGATGTATTCTGAAGCTGTAGTAGTGCAGTGGTTAGCACACTTGTATGTCAGCCTTGTGGTCATGTATTCTTTGCCCAGTGGAAATTTTAAATTTTGACCCTTTCGCTGCTATGGACATAATTATACCTTTGCCATGTAGACTGCAAAGGATGTATTTCTGCGTCCTTTGTTTTCTGTGCCCTCACTGCTATGAATGTAAAAACACGATTTCAACTTTCCCTACAGACAGCTAATAGCCTGAATACTCGGGGGGGGGGGGGGGGGGGGGGTGAAAAATAGCAATACATATTCCTCAAAGTCAGACCCAACTGACCCATTTATACATGATAACAAATACTATCATGTTCATTAAGATGTACTTTGATGCCTTCTGCGTGATGCTGTTGCTTTATTTACCATAGAAGCGTAGTCGGTGAACTGTGTACTTTTTACCCTGAAATATATTTCTAGTTTTTCATTAATCTACATATTTTTTTTTTAATGCAAAATGCAAAAAAACACTGGTTAATTACAATTGATTAAGAATTAATGGAGTTTCTTTCAAGGAGTGATAGTAAGGATTACCCTTGAAATGTGTGAGTTATGAGTTGGGTTATCTTCATGGCACCCCAGCAGACATGCATACTTCTGGCAATTATGTTAAAGTGTGAGCCAAGGTAGATTTATCGATCAAATTGGTGGGGATTGCCAGCAGTCCAAATTGTAGCTCTGAGTCACAGTCAACCGGAGTGGAGTGCTAGGATTCTCTTAGACCAGTTATTGCCCTAGCTCCCCACCCCCGGTTGATGTGGCGGTAGCTTCATCGGTGGTCAAGTTTGTGGGGTGGTGGAACAGGCCAGGGAGCAGTAAAAGCCTTTTGTGTTCTTGAGGCAATGACTAAACATACCATACGGCAAAAGTGAACACAACAGTGAAATCAAAAAAATTTTAATATTTTTGCACTCTCCTCCTGTAAGGAGGTAAAGGGGTTGAAACATTTCAAGAATGTTTCTGCTGATGATCAGAAGGCTACTGTTGTGCTTGTTCTTCCATGGAGTCTCTACTACATATACGGCAGCGGTGAATCAAAAAGGAAGTAGACTTAGCAAAGGATACATTTTCTTTCACTATCCCTAGTGAAGCTAGGCAATTAAGTTCTAGCTTGTAGTGTTTGCTTTCTGTAAAGGTTTCTTGGCGTCACCATAGTGTGCCTGTCTGACTTGTCAGAACTCAGGCCAACCACCAACTTATTTAGGTGTTTTTAGGTGTTACAACTAAAATTAAATGTCATGTTGTCATCTCACTTGTGTTTTTGTATATATTTCAGCTCAAGATGCACTAAAGCTAACTCGAACTCAGACAACCATTTCCACTGACTACCTGTTCAGCCCCTGTTATGTCCAGCAGCTGGATCGTGTCTTCTATTATGACTATGAGTATACAGGTCCCAGCAGGCATCTTGTATTGACACCACTGACAGAACGAGCATTTTTATCATTGGGCCATGCAGTTAAAACATTTTACTGTGGAAGTATGATCGGTCCCAGTGGCACTGGAAAATCTGAAACAATTAAAGAACTTTCAAGGGTAAGTTATTGTTTGTTTCTTTTCCAGTGGAAAAAGCAGACAGTGGATTTTTTTAAGACTCTTCGTTTAAAATTAATTTTATCTAGTTCAGATGCGTTATTTACCTGAGGGGTTATATTGTCTGCCTCACACATTATGCATTATATGTGTCCAGTTCTCTAGTTTTGTTTGTTTGTTGTTATTAAAATATGTTGGTAATCACTGCTTCCATCAGGGTCCGTAAACCAGAACTGATCAAGCTCTTACTTCACTTACAAATGGTGGTCCTAGAAACAGATTGTATTCTTTAATGAGAAACTAGGCACTGAAAATGGGCAAAAATCTTAGTTATCACTATTTTGATATAAATCAACTTCCTTTCTTTTTTTCTTTTTGTTGTCCTGCTGCTTATGCCATAAAGCATCACAGAGAGCAGTTATATGTGGTTTCCAGTTTTGTGCTAGATGCATAGCTTGTTTTAATGTCATATTGCGTTTCTGTACCGTCTCTTTTACTTCCTACACTCATCTTTTTTTCTTGGTTTGCCACTTGCTTTATAGCCTGCCATTCTCTTAAAGTATGCTGTAGCTGCTGGCTGATTTTGCTCCGTTTTGACCAATGACCAAACCATTTGATTCTTTGATATTCTGTAAAATCATTTACGTACCATGCCTACCATTGTTCTAAGTTCTTCACTGGTGAATTAACACAATGCACGAAATTTCCTTTTTAGGACAAATATAGAACAATCAGGACTGTGATAAATTATTTCAAATTGATAAATTATTTTTAAAATTTTGTTGAATTTTGATAGCTTTATTTAAGCCAGTTTAAAAAAAAATTTAATTGTATATCCTTTATAGGATGTTGCAGAACAAATCCCATAATTTTTTGGCTGTTGTGGTTTTTCTAGGCAAATTTTACGTTCAGTAGTTTGCCATTCATTGCTTACTGAACGGTCAGCTTTCTGTACCACTGTCAAAAACAGCTGGCCTAATGCTGGGATCAGACCCATCACCCTGACATTATGAAGCATGTTCACAATGCATAAACCACAGATACCAACGCATGTTTTAAAGTACTACATATTAAGTGGGATGTAGAGAAGTGCAGCAACTGAAATTGTTTAAAATAGAGTTGAATTTTTTTTTTTTTTTTTTTAGATCAGAAAGCATGTTTTACAGGAGTGCATGCTTGTGGTTAAAATATATTGTAACTAATTAAATTAATTTTCTTTATTTATTTTTTCTGACTAAATAAATATACAGACGATACAGTTATTATATTAATAACTGTGATAATAATATTCAGTGCATTTCACTTAATCTTTTGTAGAATTATTAACGGTATGTTTTATAACTTTAGAAATAAACCGTTCCTTAAATCCTCAGCTTCTTGGTCGGTGTATTTTCACAGTCAGTTGCCACGAAAGTATTTCATTTTCATTGATGCTCCAGTACTTAACAGGAATGGTCCAGTCAGGTTGCTGGGCCTTGTTTGATGATACAGACAGACTTACAAAAGGTAAAATATCCAATAGCTTTGATTAATGTTTGTATTTAAAAAAATAAACATGTCACTCAAATATTTTTCTGACTGGTAGTTGTACTGTAATATATCTTACAGGTCTCTTTAAGATCCTGGTTTTATTTTATTTAAACATATTTATAGATATGCTAAATTATTTTGGAACTATTTCAAATAGTTTGTTATCTTCTAGAATTGTATCTGTTGGACATTTTGTGTGTGTGTGTGTGTGTGTGTGTGTGTGTGTGTGTGCGTGCGTGCGTGCGTGCGTGCGTGCGTGCGTGCGTGCGTGCGTGCGTGTGTGTGTGTGTGTGTGCGCGCACGCGCGCGCGCGCGCGTGCGTGCGTGTGTGCGCGCGCGCGTGCGTGCGCAAAGGCTCCTATTAATATCAGTGAAACTATACTGAAAATGTTTTTTTTTAAATAGTTGTCTTACCCTTGTTATTAAAGCAAAATGTATTAATTGTTATTTATCCGTCTCTTCTTCTTCTATGTTTGACCTTAAAAGGGTGATAGGCAGGTTGTGTTATGGTTTACAGCTAAGTGCCATGTCTTCTTCTTTCTTCACAATACATCCAGTTTCAGCACCCCTAATTAGTCGCCTTTTATGACATGCTTATTAAGGAACAATGGGTCTGTTTTTTCCCCAGAACTAGGACCCAGAACCCACACATGGATTTATCCATCTGATACACATCTTATTCAGGTGCCTTGACCAGAGCAGATATTAACTGTCTTGACTCTCAATATCTTTGACACCTAATATTTTGATGAAGTTGGTGTTGCTTAATTTATTATTTGTGGCACAGCCGTTAACTCTTTACAGACGTATCGCCCGTATTCTGGCAAATAAATTTATTCCTAACGGACGAATCACTAGTGTATTGGTGTATGTTAGATATACTCTTAATTTTTTTCCGTTTGTGGGGAAAATGAACTTTTATAAACAAGTTTTTGAACAATTAGGATTAACAACAGGAAGTTCATCGTTGTCGGTGCATTATTTTCTGATTTAAAAAAATTATTTAGATGGGATAAAACTTTTACATAATTTTTCTATACTAAATGATAAAGGAAAAGGTCTAGAACTGTTCATAATGCTCTATCGTTGGTGAATCTCTGCCAGATGGTGACAACAGTCTTGATATTATGATTGATATCTAAGTGGCAAACATATTGGCGATAATTTAGTTTAGGATATGAAAATTGAACAAAATATTTCAGTTGGTTCAATGTTTCGACCAGCTGTTTTCCCGTTTTTTGGCTGTTGTGAAATTTGACATGTCATACAAAAATTATTATAACATACAAAGTATTTAAATTAATTGTTTCAAATAAAGACTAGCTGATATATAATTGACAAAGAATGCATGTGCCTTCTTAGAATTGGATCCCCCGTGTGGGTTCCGGGGCCCCATTGTGGGAAAAACAAGAATAGACCCACTGCCTCCCCAAAAGCATGTCGTAAGAGTCGACTAATTTGGGAGCTTCCTTTGAAGTCGGAGTGCATTTGCCGGAGAGGCAAGGAACCAACAGTCTGTATTCAAGAGAATGAGATCTGTAAAACTGATGCATATGCAACACTCAGGTTCTGGAGCAGGACTGCAGTTCAGTAATGGACGAGCAACCAGAACTTTTTGCCAGAATGTACAGCTGGTGAACGCGAAGAAGAAGAATTGGATAGCAGTGTTGCTGAACAAGTAAAAATGTAAGGTAAGCACACAATTTTTATGTCAATAATCTTCAAAAGTGTCCAACATCCTTGAATGTTGTGTGATTTTAATAATATTTTGTTGTAATACTGACATTTAAATAGTTTAGATTTTTTCTCACTCATTTATCTTTAATTTGATATATTATATGTCCCGATACAGCCAATATTTTTTCTTCAGGAAGGTTTTAGCTTTGTCGTGTTGCAGTTAACAAAATTCCGCTCAAAATAAATGCTGTCCAAACCCCAGAAAAAATGTGGTCCTGAAAAAGTTTACCTTAGCTTACATATTACTTTCCTCTGCTTCTCTTATTTAGTATTTTCCCATGCCAGGCGATTTGCTGTGTATATCTGTGATTCCTACCAGGTATGCTTGAGGAGTAGGAGATAAATCCTTAATCTCTAAGCAATAATCTTGCCTTCTCCATTTGGAAATCACTGCTTTATTGTGTTAAAACTGATAATTAACACCAAATATTATCAGTTTTATATATATATAGCCTTTGAATTATAATGCATGCTAACCTTTGCATTTGTTGCCCAGTTGTTTGTAATTTAATTCACTTAGGATTGTGCAGATGTTCGTGTTTTGGAGTTATGTGACAAATAAACTAAGATCAAAGTATTTGTATGTGGGGTAAAATAAATTTTTGACTTGTCACTAGGTTTGTTATCAGTGACAGGACAGCAGCTTGACTACTTGAGGACGGCTCTAAAAGCTCTTGATGTTGGCAACGAGCATCAGTATCAGATTAGGGGACATTCCCATTTTGACAAGGTGTGGTAATTTTTTTGTTTTGTTTTGTTTTTTTGTGGGTTTATATTTTATATAGAATTTATAATAAAATAATAATATATTTATTTCTCTATGTACAAACACATATACATGCACACATGCACACCCACACACATACACATTCTCACACATATATTTACATAAACATATTTACATATGCTTATGCTTACACACGCATGCACACTATATATATATATATTTTTTTTTTTTTTTCAAAGTGAATAAAAACATCTCTAAACACAGAAGATTTATTTCACTTATTAGGTTTTGAATTTGTAGCATCCTGAGACTGCAATAAGTATACCAATGACACTGATTTAATGTAATTTTTTATCTTATACAGTGTGACTGTATTTTAATTATCTGCAGTCATTTGTCTCAACAAAATTGGCAATTACAAAAATAAATTGAAAGAAATTACCTTTTCACACAGTTGGCGCATTGGGAATATGGTTCAAAGCCCATCTTTGTATAGACCAATTGGCAGTGAATGTTTGGACTGGTAAATATCATGCTGATCATCTTTAGTTGACAGAACTTTACCTGGTATCCATTTTTAGCTGGGTAACGTGGGAGTCAAGGTCGGTTGCAATAAAGTCCAGCCTGAAGAAAATTTGAAACTTAGACCTTCAGGCGGACTTTGTCTAGCCACTGAGCTACCGCAATTAAAACCTGTAAACTTTTAGTCCCTGTGTGGGTTTCATTGCCTCTTTGGGGGGAAACTAGACCCACTGCCTCCTAACAAGCATGTCATAAAAGGCAATCAAGGCAAATGGCTGGATTACATATTATCAATCCTTGCGTCCTTTTGAGGACGAAATTTTTTGTTCTTTGAAGCCCCACCCTGGCTTTTGCCAGGGGTCGCAATATCGGCAGGCCATAAATATGGCCAATTGTCTGAACGCGGTTTCTGGAACCTCTCCACACTGATCCTCACCCACATGGTGGCACTTTGTGTCATCTGGTGTTTATCGCTTGTGTGATGTTCTGGTGGGGTAGAAAGTCAGTCAGTCAGTCAATGGCTGGATCACTTCCTCACTGAGACCCCCCCCCCCCCCCCCACACCCCCTGCCCACTCATTTAAGGGAAAACACAGAAGTAAATAAACTTAGAGCGAGAAGTAACTAATATTAATCACTGTCCTGTGTTATAGACAAAAGCTGATGATAGTGAGCAGATCACAGAGGAAAATAGAGTCCATAATGGACAGTTCTTTATATTGAAGTAGTTAAAGAGTTTGGTTTAGAAAAAGTGCATGGAGTTACAATACTTAAATGAGCACATTAATAAGCAGATTTTTAACATATGTAGACATGGAAATAAACTTGAGTGAACATCATTGCATTTTTTTTTAAATTGCTATTTTCTGCAGAGAGTACAAAAATAGGTGTAAATTAACCGGAGGTAACGTCTGTAAGCTTTGACTAAAAGAGAATGTTTTAGTTAACACCACTTTTTGGTATCCGTTATAAACATATCACTTGTGTGTATGCTGGTGTGGATCACTTCACTATTGGGAGTCCACTATTATTTTCATAATCACAATACAAAATTATGATTTTGTTTCCACTTTGTTCAGTGGTATCCACCATAAGCCCACCATTCAGCAGAGTACAATTTCAATAGTTTTACTAGATTTATGTTTTTCTTGAAAAGATGTCAAACCAAACAAAAAGTAGAACTAATCAGCTTCATACAATAACAATCACCAATGACAAGTGAATGCTGCTGCTAGAAGTGCTTCATCAGTACATTGCATAACTAGACAGTTTTGTAATTATGAACAAGAATATACTAGATCACTTAACCGAGGTATCTCTGAGAGAAATCCACTTGTCACTCTGGCCAGTTGAAGCTCCAACACACTTGTGAATTCAGGAAATCAAATCTAGCCAGAAAAAGCTATGGAATTTAAGGGTATATCTAAAAATTATTAGATAAAGCTGTTTTGGACATTAAGTCCATTATTGGAGTTGGAGCCATTAGATAGAAAAGACAGTTCTTGAGAGAGTTAAAGACTCTTTCTTTGGAATGCTAGACTTGATAACCATAATATACATGTCAAAGGCACCAACATTCTTTTCTGATGAATCTGTTTGACAGCAGCTATAAATCTTACATATAAGTATGTAGTATGTAATTAGCAGAACGGCGGTCCCATCATGAAATGCCAGAAAGTCACTAGGTTCCATGCCAACTTTCCAGGGTGCTTGATATCCTGCTGGTCACCCCTGCCTCCTCTTCCAAGAACCATACCCTCTATGGATCAAGTAACATTTCCGCCATAGAAAGAGAGTGACTTCCATTCTCATTCATGCCTTGTTGAGTCACAGGGCCTCTCCTATGTTGCAAGGGTGTCGTTTGTTCCTTATTGTCAACGTTTTAATTGGTTCTCTCTTTTTCCGTCTTCTCACTGCTCACTTACGTAATTATTTACATGTTCTGCTACTGCGTGATGCTTCATGAATATCAAAACTGGGATATTTTTATATTTCTACATTCCTTGTCAGTACCTTCACTGTCTTGTGGAGAAGCCACTACCAATGAATGTAGAAATACAAAAACATCCAAGTTTTGATACTCATGAATCATTGCACCTGTGGCGCTTCCCCCTGCAGTACTTTTTACTTGTACACAGGCGCCTGCAGTGCCTCAAAGAGACTTACAACAACACAGCCTTCCACAAACATTATATAAGCCAAGCGAATGCCGAACCAAGCCATATCATAACACTCCCGCAACATAGAAGGGCCCTGCAATGTGACGAGGCATGAATGGGAAGGGAATGGGCAGAAAACATTACTTTAACCCCCTCCATTACTGTTGTCTCCAAATCAGTATGGTGTTTAGTATAGCTGAAGTATTTCAGTTTCCAAGAAACAATAACATCTTTGAACCAGTCTCTTCTGTGTTCAGACCATGAAGATTGTCGGTATTTTTCCCCCTTCTTATTGGTTCATGATACACTAAGAATCTTACATTAATATCTAAATTAGAAAGCTCTATTCTATTGCAGTGAAAAAGACTGTAGCTAAAATTAGTATATTGCCAGAAAAGATGCACTTCTAGAGAGATAGATATGTAATAAAAGTTAAAATATTGTATGTATTGTGTATAACTAAGTTTATAATAACAGCTCCTGTTTGTCTCATTTTAAATTTGTTTTATACAGATGTCTGAAGTTTATAACTTTAATAATATGTTTTGCAACTTACATTTCTGTATTTTCATTAAGATAATTATTATTACTCGATTATTTGCAGGTTTTTAATTTGGTATGGTTCATACTTAATGAGCATTCTTTGACACAATTTAATTTTCTCAAGAAAGCTTTAAAATATATTTTGATAAAATGAAAACATAAATAGCATAATTGATGCTATGATTTTATATATATATATTTCTATAAAGCTTTATTTTTGACATTTTTTCTTCTGTTTCACTGAAAGTCAGTTGAACAAAAATATGATCAGTATTTCAAAAGCTGTTCTTGAAGTACTGATAATTATATTTAAAGAATAATATCTTGATTAAAATATGAAAGCAGCAATAGTATTCCATGTGTGTGAATAAGTTTTGTTGCATTCATTATGTAAAGGTTTTGTTTTTTAAATTTAAAAACAAAATTAATATGATTGAAGATCTGCAGGTGTTGTGAGCATTAAATAACCAATTTGAACTGCATACTTGGTAGTCAGCTAGGATACTTGTTAACTGTTTCTGTTCCAGCAATACACAGTGTGATCTCATTCATCATATTATGTGTTTTCTTATTTTATACATTTAATTAAAGAGCACACTTAAGAAATCTGGCTTACCCAGTTACAGTTTCTCTTGGAAAGAGATTTTTGTAACTCCCTATTTATTCCCATTTTCGCCTCCCATAAAGGTTTCAGATGCTGAAAGAACTAACAGAAGACATTGACAAACTCATAGCATTTATTTATAATTGCAGTAAATTCACTCTGAACACATTTGAATGTATAAATCATAAAAATTAATTTTTTTGTTTCCATCTTATGTTATCTCATCTCATCTTGATCCTCTTGTACCATGTGGTGTCAAGGTGCAGTATAATTTACGGAAAGGTGCCCGTTTGTGCGCTTCATAAATGGGGCTCCCCAGGGACTCAGATATTTCCTCTGTTGATCGTTTGCATAGTGGGCCTTTTCATGTATCTGACAAATAGCAAAAAATGTATTGAATACACATTGTATAGAAGGCAGGATGAACTATGACCGATAGCAATTTTAACAACTTATTTTATTACTATAAACTTTGATATGACAGTTTGAATTAGTTGATTTTTACTTGCCTGTTTTAGTTCTGAATGCTAGTATCTGACTGTGAATAAATTAAGACACTTTCAAAATGAATGACATAAAAATAATATTTGCTTAGTAATGTAGCAGCTAGGCAGTTTAAATTTTTCATTTTCTTTCACATTTTAATTGTTTTTCACATCTCATATTTGCCTCCATGCTTTGATTTTGTAATTTTTCTTTGTCCTGCATTCATTGACACATTTTACTCAGTACTGTCAGGATCTTTGTTCAAAGCTTTCTATTCATAGAGGTAAAGCTTTCTTTTCTTTAAACCTTTATTTTTTTTTTTATGTTCTTTCTTTCTTAATTAGTTTCATCTATAGGTTTCATTTTTCATCTATGGTTTTTGTGAAAACCATTAACTATATGTTTTCTCTTCGTACATTACACTTAAATAATGCACTTCAATTATGGCCATTTTATAATGTTTGTATGTGAGTGTGAATTAACTCTTTGAGTCCCAAGGAACACATTATACGTTCATAGGCTCCTACCTAGAAGCCCGATGAACGCATGATGCACCGATTTTATTACTTTCTTTACTACCCCCTGGGCCTGTGATGCTAAACCCCCTGGAACTCAAAGAGTTAATATAAATGACATTTTTTTTTTTAAATTAAGTTTAAAAGAGCTCAAGCAAATGCAGCATTTAACAGG